AGCCTCCAAGTCCTGATGAATGTCCCACTTTAGGTTTTCAGAAATGTTCAAATTATCGCGATAATATATTACCACGCCGCCACCTTTCAAGCCATTTGATCTATCTCTTCTCACCGTGTTATAACCATATATTCTTATTAATTCATTTGATAGGTCTACGGTCAGGTGGGTCTCAGTAACGCCCAGGATGTCGAATTCAACCTCTTTTAATAGGAATTGAATTTCAGACAATTTATTAGTAAGACCATTGATATTTATGTGTCCAATCTTTAAGTTCTTGTTGTTGCCCATCGTAGTCTTTAACGTAGTGAAAACATCTTCGTCAGGTTCAGACACCACGTCATCGTCAAGGTTTAAGTCAAAAGAACTGGCATCGGCAAAGGGAAGAGCCCTCAGTTCACAGAAAGGGCAGTTCCAGAAGAAATGATCGAGGAGTTGAAGTTTGTTGTATTCACTTGGGTTAACTCTTCCACACTTTATGTGGCACCAACGGAGACAGATATCGCATTCTATTGCACGGTGAGTTTTGGCGACAGCTCTCTCGCAAATTGGGCACTTAGGGCTGTTAAGTGGGGACCAGGATTAGGATTAATGTCACCACTAGTTGAGAGCCTTATCAAATTAAAGGTGCTGACTGAGTTGGGATACAGAGAAACCCGAGTTGAGAAGAACCTTCTACCGTGGGAGCGATGATACGTACCACGTGGAGGAAATGTAGCCAGAGTCGGGTAGAAAAAATCCTTTCGCCAATCCATGGCACACTCCGAAGCATCACTACGCATTTCATTGGCTTTTCCGAAGGCTTCGACATCGAAGAAGCAACAGTAAAAGCGAAACTGAACCAGAAAAGCATATAAAGTGACGGAACTCCAAGAAAAACGTCCAACCGCCATGGCTGACCACCGCTGACCTGTGACTTTATCGTTCATTTCTTCTTTGGTTGATAAATCTCCGAATATGACTTTAAGGTCTACCTCAAAATATCTGTCTAAATCTTCTCGGCGTATTTAGCTTTGAATTCGTTTCAGGTCATAAACACAAATAAATTTCTCTCACATTTTCGCAGCCGAGATTCCTGACCGCAAAAAAGAAAGAAAAGAAAGTTAATGACTGTGAATGTATGAAAATCATATATGGGAACCGCGGATTAAGAAATGAATACGAAAGAGATCTAGCAGTGAATACTACTTAAGCAGTAGTGAAAATAAAGCCTGAAAATTTCAGGCCATACGGGATTTGAATCTATGAACTTTGGCTCTACCACATTTATATTTGTATTGTCATCACTCAGGTTTCTACGATCAAAACACAGATCGGCTACACATTTAAGTATGAATTTTAAAATAATTGTAATCATTACAATTAAGAATAATTTTTTTTTTTACCTTTTTTAAGTCTGAGAGTTTATCAGTTAAATTGCCTAGGATATGTTGATAACAAGTCGATTGTATCGTTTAATTTTGTCCTAGAGATACCAATTCTGCCGCATTTCTTAAAAAGATCTTTGCTATCAAATAATTGACCAAAGCGACAATTGATCAACGAACCTGTTTCTCTCAGAAATTCGTCTTGATAATTCAAAAGGGAAACCTCATTTGAAAAGTTGAGAAGAAGCTAGAGTTGTTCGAGGCGTAGCCGAGAGCAACTCTTACGCATCTTTCGTGCTCTCCAACTTCCCACGTGCTTCATATCTCGATGAACGCACGCTGATGTATGAATCAATTGTTAATTTTAAAACGTTCCGGAATTCGAAGCTTACAACACAGCTATTGTGGAAGAAATAGATCATAATTATATAATCTAATAGAATGTTGTAGTTTCCCATCCTATGTCATTAGAAAGTTTGAGTACAAATGTCACAGTGACTAAAAACTCTAGAAACTATGTACAGTCTCTATCCACAACACACCTAACACGTTTGAAAATCCTTGTACATAATGATGCTAATGAAAGCATAAGCGAACATAGTAAACAACTTGTGTACAGTCACGGACCGCCGTGACTCATCGTGGAAGGCTTTTAGACAGAATAACAACTACATGCAGAGAAGGCATAGGTATTAACAGTTGCTTTAGTTTCTGCTATGGCAGATAAGCTAACACTCCCCTTTGGACTAACGACCTGAGTAAACATTAAGGGTTCAAAATGTTTTTTAATAAGCGAAATGCAAAGCTCGAAGTTCTGCTTAAAACTTACTTAGTGAAGCTCTTCGATAGGAACAGATAGAGATGATAATTGCTAATATTATTTGGAAACTCACTTATGCCCATAGTTGTAGACCTTTGCTGGGGGAGAGAGAAGAGAGGGTCTATTCTAATACGCGGGTCAACAACAATTGTTCAGTCGACTCTGATGATGATTTCGCTGAGGATATATAAGCGTCAAATGAATAAAGGGGTAAACGTCACCTTTTTTACCCTTTACGGTGGCTAATTTACCTTTTCAACCCAGTTGTTAACACGAAACTACCTGTTATAGAAGCGTCAGTCTTTATTACTGACTCATATCTTCAGTAAAAGCTTCTCAGGAGTACTCATACTTGGAAGATCAAAATACACCGTCCAAAGGTACTCTTGTGTTCCAAATACTGACTGTTTAACACTAATCATAAAAACTGGATCATGTGAGATTTTTAAAGTCCCTGTCATACATTATAGTACATGTGCCAATGACTCAATTTGTGGACCCTTTCACTGTGCAAAATAACTTGCTTATAGCATTCTGTCTGTGCCACAATAGCGCAGAAAACAACCAGGTACCTTTTTCTAGTTTTTATATAAAGTAGGATCCGCATCTTTCACACGTATGTTAATTGATTTCTTGCAACAATTTTGACCTCCGGTAAAGCAGATATTGAAGGAAACCTCACCAATGTGTGGTGACCACCGTATAGCCAGCCTGAGAAGATCGCACAACATCTATTATCTGGTACGCACTGGGTTGGCATTTTTGTTCCTGCATCTCCCACGAAACGATACCATTTCCCGAATATTATGGATGAGGAATCGTCGTCACATTTTTCTCCACCATATGGTTTGTTGTAAGTGCTCTTTCTGTCGGCATCGCTCAGGTTTTTGTAATTATAGCACGGATGGGCTAAAAAGTTGAATTTCGGTTAATGCGATGTTTTATATATTTCTTTATAAGGAAGCTTAAGGAAAAAAATATTGTATAAACTGCGGTGTTTTAGACTCGCCCTGATAAAAACCGTAACAGTACGCGTACAATGTTACAATAACTTTTTTTTAAAAATAAGTTTGATATCATCAATCAGCTGTTTCAGGTTTGAAAATGAATGGCAAAGCGTTGGCGGTTCTAAATCCTGGGTCGCTTGTCGCTTGGCTGCTAATAAACAATTCGTATTTCAAACAGACAATGTCGCTCAAAATTTCCTAGAAGCAAAAGTAAAACAAAATACAAAAATAAAACCAAAAATAACGTATTTGACCTGGGTAATGGTATTTCTCGCGGCTGAGAACGAAAATCGACAACTGGAAGATTTGCCACAGGCCGATTTTGGCCGTGTGCATAAAAATGTATCTTTTGTCGATAAGGAAAAAGTCAATAACTGGTTTTGTGAAAAGAATACGCCCATTGTCTTTTTCTGTAATGGTTCAACGCATTTTTCCTCATGAGCTCTATCTCAGACGCGCTTTAAGACCTTTTATTTGTGGATTGTGTAACTTATAATTTCATTCTCCAAAAAAAGTCTACTTTTCTTATTAGTAAAGGCCTATTCAATTATATGATAAACAAATATAATACATGGTTGCTTGCAGGTCTAGAACTTCTCTTTTCTTGTTCAAATCATACCAGGAGAAATACAATATATAACAGTTTATATATATTTATAATGGCCGAGTTTGTCCTGAAGTCTCAACGCAAAATCCCTAAAAAGTTACCATATTCAACGAATTTCAAGGCGTCTTCGTGGCTCGATCGCTCAAGGATCGGTTTTCATACAGCCTGCTGACCGATAATGGGGATCATTATTTTGTCTCTTGGTGGAAAAAAACAATGCACAATAAGTCTACAAATATGATATAAAAAATCAAATCTATGTTTCTTTTTCCCTAAAGGTGCGCTGAAGGACGTTTCCAAGCAATTTAAAGGCACTAAAAACTAACGTGATTTTTTGCATGGCCAAACAATAATAGCTATTCAGTCAACATTATTTACAGCGAGTTCAGCCAGTACCATCTCTAAAAATGTGTAAGGTAAGACTAACCTTTACAATTCAAACCATCCTCAATGTATCTAGAATTACAGGCGCAACTCTAGGGGCCCTGGGTATTACTGCAAGAGGCGTGCTCATCGCAGATATTCAGTGTTGAACACTCGTCGATGTCTGATGAGGATCAAGCGCACAACGTCACAACCCACAATTGAATGTTCTGTAGAACTACATTTAAGGATAAATATTTGATTACTTCCGGCGACATAATTTGAGTTAAAAGAACGTTTCAGATTACTTCCCGCTTCGAATAGCTGGGATTGTATGTATAGAAAGAGCAGTAATAAAATTGCTCCTCTCTGGTCATAAAGGACTTTTCTGAACATTGAAGGAAACTTATTAAAATCACCTAAGCAAGTCTGTCCATCTCCAGTGTATCCAGTGTGGCATGTACATAGATGTGATCCAATGGTGTCGGTACAGTTAGCATTCGCATGGCAAGAAAGATTTCTAGCACATTGATCAATATCTGAGACATCAAAGGCTTCTGGGAGTATGATGCATATATAAATCTTTTGTCATCTTGCTTTCAAGTGGGAGGAAGGATTTTTATTTTCTTCCATTGGTGAAAAATATTAAGGCAAGAGTAACTACTTTATCAAAACAAACAAATAAAGAAGGAACGTGCAAATTAAACAAATAATTCAAAAAACAAACACAAGCAAACTAACATTTGTTTAAGTCATAACGGAGCAATTACAATCTAAAGGCCTTTACCTGTGCAGTTCCGTCCATCTCCGTTAAATCCAAATAAACAGGTGCACAAAAAGGATCCATTTGTGTTTTGACAAGTAGCGTTCAGGTGAAAATCGTGAGTATCTTTTTGGCATTCACCAATATCTAAAAAAAAGGGAGAGAAAAGAATAATTATGCAACGGTTGTAGTTACACGAGCGAGATACACATTAGGTTTTAAACTGTTGCGAGGCGAAAAAGCATTAAGTTAGTTGTCATTGTGAAAAATTAAGATTAATTGTTACTTTAGACTAAACCAAAAATTCTACTGCAGCGGAATCTCTCTCTAGACACCATTCCAAACTGTAGTGGGATATCAGTCGTCAAAGATCAGCCTTGGTAGCCTTCCTTGGTAGATTTTTTTCTGGCGGATTTTAAAATTGCATTGCATTCACGTGACAAGAGTGATTTCCTTTACACTCGTCAATATCTGTAAAATCATAAACACAAAAAAAAATAATTGTAATAGGAAAAAAGTTGCCGAGCATCATGCTTAGAAACCTTAGTCTTTTTGTCTTGTGGTTCTAGACGGAAGCACTTCACATTACCACACACCAGATTTTTTTCTCGGTTCCCCTTAAGTTTAACTCTGTTGTTCTGTCCTGTAAGCCTTTAATTAATAAATTAACTAGTAAGGCTTCAATCAAGCCTTTAATTTAATCTCCCTTTGCCATTTGAGATTTCTTATCACTAAATGTTTAATGAACCTTTTAATTCCCATGAGTGACCAAGACAAAATTTCTCTTTACCAAATCAATACAACATCAAACAGACAAATGATGAGAATAAAGAAGAATATCAACGTGTGGATTATTAGTTGATTCAATACCAAATTCTTAGAACAAACATCAAAAGAATTGTACGGCAGACAGTCAAGAGAACTACTAATGAGATAATGAAAGGGTTAATACAATTGTGTCATTGTCACCATTGTCGTCAGGTCTATACTCATCACTTTTTTATACAAGGTATGCTGGTAAAACAAGTCTTGCAAAGATGATGGTGCTTTTCTTGCTATTTGGAATGGTTACAAAAGAAACGCATCAAGTACGTGTGCATTCCCGTCCATTTCCAGTATATCCGGAGTGACAAGTACAAACTTACGATCCCTTGGTGTTCGTGCAGGTAGCATTCACCTTTTTTTTTCAGGCCTTATTTTCACTACTGCCTAAGTAGTGCACACTACTGCGAGGATCACTTTCATTCACGTCTTTATCCACAGTTCAAATATATGACTTTCATATATTCGTAACCGTTTATTTCATCACTTCACGGGTTTATTTAGAACCAACATCAGGACCAGCTCCCAGTTGGCTTGTTAGCTCAGTTGGTAGAGCGCTGCATCGGTATCGCAGAGGTTATGGGTTCAAATCCCGTACAGGCGACAAACAGGCGACAAAATTCTTGCAAGATAACCAGAAAAAAAGGCCGCTAATTAGTGATCATATAAAAGGACCTTTTGTTGCAGCGTTTAGATCACCCCTGATGAAGGCACTAGACAGGAGTGTCGAAACCTTGGGTCTATGAATTGTAACTTCTTTGGTTACATTTATTAAATCTGCAAACTAGAGTAGCATCAGACTATGTCTAATAGCTAAGGTATTTATCCAAATAGGAACAAACACTACATTCCCCCACACTTATTTCAAAGGCTTGGTAATCAGCTACTCTAATCATTATATATTAAATCCTAAACGCTGCGGTGCTTTACGCTGTCGAGTTGGATAGCGTGTTTTAGGTTGAGGTTGCGCTGTCGCGGCTGCTTGCGCATCTTCATCCGGTTATCATTTTCGCTACTTTTGGTTTCGTTTGGTTTTAGCGTTGATTTTTCCGCGGTTTCCGCTTGCGGAGGCGTTACCAGTTGGATGTCAGTGGTATCGTTTGACTGGTTTCTGGTTGCACTGGTTTCTGGTTTACTATCTTTGTTGCTTAAATACTTTTGGTGTATTTGGTCAATATCTCGTTTTCAAAGTTGTTCTCCGACCGTCTCAGGCCTTCTGATCCGTCTGCCTGTCAAATACTTTCCGACCGAGGTCAGGACGCATTAAATCTAACCTCGTTCTTAATCGATGATTTAGGAACAACTCGGCTGGTGTTTGGCCTGTAGTACTATTTGGTGTCGTTCGGTAACTGGAAAGAAATCGCGCTAAACTTTGCATAATCGAATCGCTATCCTCCACCTTAAAAAATTGCTTGAACGTTTGAACAAAACGCTCTGCTTGGCCGTTGGATCGAGGGTGATACGGAGCAACAAGTGTGTACTTGATTCCGTTTGCTTTCATAAATTTACAGAATTCTTCTGAAGTGAACTGTGAGCCATTATCACTCACGAGTTGTTGTGGAATGCCATACCGAGCAAACATATCGCGAAGATTTGCGATTGTCGCTTCAATAGTGATGCTGGGCTTCATTTCTACTTCAAACCATTTTGAATAGCTATCGACGACAATTAGAAACATTTTACCCATAAATGGACCTGCAAAATCGATGTGCACTCTCTACCACAGCATTTTTGGCCAATCCCACGGGTGTAAGGGTGCCGGTTGGGGCTTGTTACGTGACTTCTGACAGTTGTCGCATTTCCGTACGATTGTGGCCATATCTCTGTCAAGATTAGGCCACCAAACGTGAAGTCGCGCGAGTGACTTCATACGGACGATACCTGGGTGCCCTGTGTGTAATTCATATAGCACACGTTCGCCAGGCTGGCTGGGAATTATTACTCGAATTCCCCACAATAAACAACCATCTTCTACTGTAATTTCGTGACGTTTGCTAAAAAACCCGTAAAGAAAAGCTATCCGCCAATCTTTTATTTACCTTCGTCCTAGTGGAGAAGTTATAAAAAAATTGCATTTAGTAATAACCTATGGCTATTAAGACCGGTTATCTTGGAGAGAGGAAATTGTATGCTGTTTATTATTGAGACGTACCATTGTTTCCTGAAATCACGCAGCAGATTACTATTCGGGTTAAATGTTTCTACTGATAAATAGAAAGTAAATAATAAACGAAAAATGTAAGTAAAAGTAAATTTGAAGCGAAAAAAGTCAAACATTATACATCTCAGATGGAGAGTAGTCAAGTTATTATTTCTTTTTTAATTGTTTCCAGATGCCACCTGTTATGTACACCCAGTCTTTGTGAGTATAAGTGGGGTTCGTCTGAGAAATAAGACGGAAAAAACATTTTTCCCTCTGTGAAAAGTTTTTACCTCGGCATTTGAGGTTGACGAAAACGATTAAGACGGCTCTTTCTAAAATGAAAGGTATTTTTGATAAGTGGCAAACGAGCGGACGTTGTAGCACTTAAATTTTGAAACTAGTAAAACTTCGCAAGTCTAACGCAACATTTGTGCAAATTTTTCCAATAATCCAACTATATTGGGTCGTTAAAAGTTAGTGAAATTTTAAACCAGTCATTAAAGATTTCTGCGTCAACAACTTTCGTTCAGGGACTCTTAAAATACTCTTTCATACTCCAGCAATGTTCTAGTATAAAACAAATTTCTCTGAGATGGTTAAGAGTGGTAAAAATCTATCAACGTTCGATGAAAAAACATCAAACTACAAAGGAACTTTACGTAAGATTGTAATACGTACATGTTATGGAGAGAAGAGAGTTGGAATACAGGATTTTTTGAACTGACATGATTCGTAGTTGTCGAGGCTGTTCGCGTTTTCCATCTTGTATCCAACTTTCTGAGTAGGATACGCTTAAAAATCTACGTTAAAACACCGTTCTATTTCACAAAAATGACTTCCAATTATGGGTGGATGGTGAACGTGGCTGTTTTCCTTACTTAGTTTATTTGTTACTTCTTTCTGTATCAGCGAAGACAATGAAATTTATATATGAAATAAGATTGCACTCATAAATGAATCGAACGATGGAAAATGATTGGCAGTTTTCCAATCACGTTTGCCAAACGTCAAGCAAGTCAACACAAGGTACGAAAATGAAACATGCAAAAAAATTTCAGAGCAGCATCAAACCATTTCTGACGCAAATAGTTGTTTTCCGCTTTGCCCAATAAAAGGAATTAGGTCTCTTAGGAATATCATTCCATATTCTTAGGATAACAGACACCTGAACGTTTTTAAGTTCTATTGGACGTTTTGACCTAAAACTTTCAAAATTTAGGAGATCAAAATTACATCTAGCGCATTTTTCATTCATTCCTACCAAAAGATGACGAGTGAATAGCAGACGCATCCTCCCTCGGTGTTAACGTATTTAAGAAAGCCATGATAACCTGTTCTCGTTTACTTTTACCATCCTTCTTTAGAAAAAAAATGACTTTATCAAGGATTTTCTCATTTGCAGTTTAATTTTGCTAAGCCTTTAAAATGCGTTACCGGTCGTCGACTAAAAGGAAAAAGAAAGTACCGGTGTACTTTTAGTCCCGAAGATTCGACGACGACGTAACCGAAAGGTAAATGAATTGGGAAATCAGGAAATCTGGTCTGGTTTCCTTACTCAGAGCGCGTGGCAATGGAACATAACGCTTATATCTGTTGTGCTTAAATTTTCATCTGTGATTCAAATTTTTGGATCGCTGGCTCTATATGCAATTGGCCGAGTAAGTTGTGCTTTTAGGAAACGCTCCTTTCACCCAATTCAATTCGTGAGCCATGAAAAGTGCTTCATAGGATTCCTACGCGGTTTTCAGCAATAACTGCGATCACTTACATTTTTTCGTGGAAAATGTACTCGAAGCCCTTAAAAGACATTCAAAACAAAAGTCAACCAGAAGAAGGCAGTTTCAAAATTAATGTGGCGTTATGATCTATGATATTGTGGACGGGCCATCAAAACTGCTCTGTCATCTATAAGCATACCTGAAGACAAAGAAAAACGATTTGATTGCAACATATGCGAAGGGTTGAACGACAATCGTGCACTATCCGAAATTGATATGTGAAAGACGTTGTGCTACAATGTCATTCATTTATTGTTCAAATGTTTGAGTTATTAAACTGGATAGGAAAGGATATTGAATAAAAGAAAGTGAACAAAAAATCGTGCACTGCCCGACCCATTATGTTCGTTGAGGACAGTGTGGATTCAAGACCTTTCGTCCGTCAGTTCGGGAACAAGTTTTTGTCGAATACTCTGTTAGTTTAAAGGAAAGAAATATGTTGGCGTTAATTCTGTGTTACTATCTATATTACTATTTACCATAATTCAGTCCATCCTCGCCGTGGCCAGAGGCCCTCAATGCTGTTTGCCCTTTGCCTTCTACTCAGCTCTTCCCAGCTGACTTCTCTTTCCCCCATCCCTTTTTCAATTATCAGGTATAAGATTAATAGCAGATTTTATCGCGACGATTTCCGTTGCGCACAGCTTTTTTCAATTTACCAGTGACAAATTTCCCGCGAAATTTTCTAACGAAAATTTACTAATGACGCGTGACCCGTGGTCACTCCTTTTCCTGTAAAACTTGAACTTAAGATTAAAAACAAGGGGAAATAATGAGACCATTATTTTTTCTTGATGAAAGCAATTTATTAAAGAGACTATTTGTTGCACGGTTAACCTATTGTTACCCTATTTGTTAACCTTTGCTACCCTAATAGTAGCAGTATGCAGGACGCTTATCATATATGAACTTCGTAATGGACCTCGCCCAACAAAGAGTCTCTGTGTCTCAGTGGTAGAGCATCGGAGCGCGGAATCCGAAAGTTTGAGGTTCGATTTCTCATGGGAACTCGGAATTTTTTTTTTGTCCCACGCTCGTGACAAGACGAAAAAAAACATCTTTCTCTATTTCTTTAGCGAGCTCAAAACCTTACCATCTTTCCTATTCTACTCGTTACCCTGTGGGTGTGTTCTAAATAACTTAGCTCAAAAGGTTTAGGCATAAGGTGTTTTATGGAGGAGAAACTCAACTTCTTCTTTTATCAGAGGGGGAAAGTTTCTAAAGAAACTGTGGTGCTGTGTAGGTGGTATAGTATAACAGGGTAATTTAGTATTATCAACTGAGTTGATATCTTAAATTGGCTACCGTAAAGAGTTTTACAACTGACTTTTAGAGCGTTGGCCCTTCGTCAGAGCAAATAACGAAGTACTTACGCTCGAAACGTTAGCCTTAAACTCTCTATGGTGGCGAATTTACCTTATCAACTCAGTTGATAATGCTAAATTACCTAATTACCTCCCTTACTTTCCGCTGAGTATCATTTAATTAGTTGTGGATATGAAAATATTTATGCAGTCCATGGAAAACCAACGAGTACGACGGAAATGACAAAGTATTCTTTGAAATCAATGTTATTTTATGTTTTCCAGCAAGTGTTAGGGGCAGAAAATCTGATCGTTTAAATTCAAAAAGGGCGAATGCTCGCAGAACTGATACCACATTGAGATATTCTCCAGAGGAATATAGAGGTAGAATTGGAATTTATAACTCGCTAGTTTCAGTCTCAAATATTCCATAAACCGGGAAGCCAACCATTGTATGAAAAGGTTCAAGGGGAAAATGAAAATAGACCAGCATATATTCAAGTCCTTTTATTTCATCTCTATATACTCAGGGTGCATATCGTAAAATCACACAAGTCATTTTTATGAATTCTCGCTTCCAAGCCAGGTCTTCACCAGGACAAATCGAAGAGAGGAACGTCACTAATGGAGAGAATATTTTCCAGGTGTCATAATTACATGTATTCACATCGCTTAATCAAGTCGAAGATTTTTATAAATGAATGTAATAAACAGATTTATACAGCGCCAAATTCACTAATTGTCCATGGTGTTCTACATTAAGATTATTGAAAAGCTGAAAGAAAGGGAGAAAAGGAAAAAAAAATATATATATATGTATACGAATAGACTAATTTAAAAATTATAAGATAATTAAACATATTTATCATCAAAAAAAAATAAACAGGGTTACGACCTGGTTCAAAAAGATACGTTTTTAAACGTCTTTTAAAACTGTCAATTGAAGAACTAGATCTTATTCCAAGTGGGATCGAGTTTCATAGTCCTGGTGCCGCCACAGGAAACGTTCTCTCTCCACAAGTCTTTAGTCTCGCTTTCGGGGTCGCCAGAGGGTATTGAACAGAGGACCTTAGTGTCCCTTTAGAGGTGCAATAATTAAGAAAGTCGCATATGTAGCCGGGCACTGCTCCATTGATAGCTTTGTAGATCAGTGAAAGAATTATATAAACTATACAGTGACGGACAGGAAGCCAGTGGATCTCCTTTAGGATAGGGGTCATGTGATCAAATTTCCTAGTACATGTAACAATTCGAGCTGCACTATTTTAAACGGATTGCAATCTTGTAAGCAGACGCTGAGGTAGACCATATAGTGGTGAGCTGCAGCTATCTAATATTGAAGTAATGAATGCGTGAACAACAATTTTCTTCTTCAATGTACTTTCTAATTTTTTGCGACTACTCAAACATACAAACCATACACTGCAACGCACGTTTTTTCGTACCCATTATCGCTATAACCCCATTTGAACAAGTCTTCGCTGTACCAGATTTGGAATTCTTGGTTCGTCTCCACCGTCAGAGGGGTAGACAAATTATCAAAAAGCAGTTGTGGCGATTCGGTTGTGGCCCAAGGCAGGCTGTAAAACTTGCAGTTCCGATAGTCTGATAGGAAATTACTCTTTGGGAGAAGAAGATTACGGTTTTTGTCAGTTATCAACGTGGCCATTTGGTTGGGAATGAGACGGTTCCAAAGGCATCCCCATTTGGAGTGAAAACTTGACTTTTGTGCATCACAGGTGACGTAACCAGATCTGTAGGTTAATTTGAATGTAATGATGTTACCGGCTTTGGAAGTTCTAAAGAAACCATACGAATCATCTCTTGCTCCAAAGCAAACTGTGGATGGCGTCATCTGTATCCATCTTACTGTTGGGAAAAAACCAGCACATATATGATGAATTGATTTTGAACAAAAGAATGTGAGTTGGGTAAAAAGAATACACGGCTAGACAGCCAGCCACTTAGTCAGACAGATGGATATGAAAGCAGGAGGGACAAAAGGGGTTCAGACATCTGGAGGAGCAGACGGACAAATGGCTGACTGAATAGGACTGACAGTTGGATTCATCAATAGATAACTTAAAGGGTGAGGTAGAGTTTTTCATAAAAGTATTTCACCAAATGAAAAATGCTTTTTTATCTACCGTTTCTTTCCTCGCAATTGGTGCCCTTGTATTCAGGCGGGCAAAGGCATCTGTAACCTTTGTCTGTAAATCCTGTCTGACAAGTGCCATTATGTTGGCATGGAGTCTGTCCACAAGTGTTCTAATGTGAAAACGAGGTTTAAAAGCAGATATATGCCAATTGAAGCGGTAAGTAGTAATGATACTATAAAATGAAAACTGAAACGTCACATGAGATCAAATCAACCGACCAACCAGCCAGGCAACAAATCAACCATACCAACCAATTGCAAACAAACATTGTGCAACCAGCCAAACAACATGCCAGCAATCAACTTACCATAGAGCATTTATAAGCTAAACAACCTGAGGTTGAGCCAACTTTATATATTAATCTACCAAATGACAAGTAATGTTATTCGCTTGGCCATGATAGGATACCGACCAACCATCAAAAATCACCAAAACCAAGGATAAGCGAAAAGCACAAATAGGATAAGAATGTACTCACCATTGTTCCTTTATATCTGTAGTTTGTCCAGGACTTGAGATCCTGAGGATGTTCATTGTGTGTGGAATTATTCAGTTCGCATTTTGTGATTACTGGAGATCTGCTGGTCACTAATTCGTTATAGCTGACGCAGTTGGGTTCCATGAAGCATAGAGCTGAGCAGAAGTCTTGCACAGGGATTCTACGGTTCTTATTAAGTGGTTTATTAGCCGTTTGCCAGGAAAGCAAGAGAAGATGTAAATTCCATCTTGCGACAGAAGTCTGTAGGAAACTAAATCGGATTTGATTAGCACCATTTATGGTGTAGTATAGACAGGCAAAGAACCAGTTTCGTTTTTCAGGGACTACGCAAAGCCAATGGAGTGATGAAACTTACGATTTGTACAAGTAAATACATAGGTAACGGGACTTCGTGTCGTCCAATTTGGTCTTTAATCATATTCACGAGTGAGCGAAATTAGACTCCACTCGGTCCTATTACAATTATAAATTCAATATACTTACAACACTGTAGCAGTATGTATGTAGTTTGCGACTGAGAAAATTGGGTCACAACACACTGAATCGTGAATTTCATTAGAAACGAGAATTATTTGTGGTTAAAAAAAAATTTCTAATGCGTCTAGGGCATATTTCTACTTCATATTTTATGTGTTATTAAATATAATGTTTTTTAATTCGCTTTTACTGATGTGCATCTATGAAGACACATATCTCTCTTTATCTGACAAATCAATTTGGAATTCTTAGCATACCGGTAACATGGTAGAATCGGGCAATGGCCCAGTTTGAAAGAAGCAACATCCCAGCCTCGATCTTTACTTTAAGAAGCCCGTCTGAATTAAACCCTCTGGTTTTTTTTTATAATCGAGGGGGCTTTTCGATATCCTTGATTTGGTGATCTCACAAGTTAGTTAAATTTTTAATTTTTGTAAAGTGCATACTTGCCCTGAACTTTAAACTTTTGCTTAATTACTCGTAGAGAGAGAACTCCCATACGGTGATTAGCGTAAATAATTGACAATATTTGAAGTGCACATGCTGGTAAAGTAAAAACAACCCATTTAATTTGTCTGAAATGACCTCATTAACCTACTGAAATGTAATATAGTTTGTGAGACGCACCATGGTGAACTGACAGGTCACTATATGCGAACTGTTGTGAAGTGTTTTGGTCAATTAAATTTCAAGATTTTCTTTAGGGTTGTAAGTCTGATTTGCTCAAGATGTGTGATTGTCTTCGTCCTCAAACTGAGTTTCCTGATTGTTTCTTTGTCATTTAGATATCTAGTTATTTGTAGTGGAATACCCTATGTGACCGTTGTGTAGTCCTTGTGTGAGACTTATGCACAGAAGCGTGTATGACCGAACACGTAATTTTTATTTTTGATTAGTTTTGATCCTTGATCGTTATTGAAGCTTGTTTCTCGAATAATGACTTCCGTTGGTAGTGATGTTTGAGTTAATTTACTGACCTTGATTGATTGATTACTTGACCTTGATTAAGATCAACACCAAAATTCCCCTTTTGGTTTTAGTATTGGAAAAATATCAAGTGATCTGTTGTTTAGATCTATGCTCATGAAAGTATTTAGGTTTGTGGTTTGATCAAGAGGTTTAATCCAAGTCAGTCGGCCAATAACCCGAACATGCTTACTGAAAGAGTACTTAAGAGTATGTACTCGAGAGTGAAAATGAGAGACACTTGAGTTGATTGTCCAAGAAGCAAAAGAGGAGAAGAAGAAGAGAAGACTGAAGAAGGGTCTAGTTGTCTAGGAGTCTGTTTTAATTTTAATCATACAGAAATGATTTATTTGGCTCATCGTCCATGTGACATCAAAATTTTTCACCAATTATCCCAGAGTTTTGTAGAGCAAGTTTAGGCTGTATGGTCTCTAGTCTAGTTAACTATGTAACCTTTTTATCTATGAAAAATAAACTGAAAAATAAAGAATATGAAATTGAATGTGCAACTAACTTAGTTGAATTATAATGATTTTTTATCAGCTCGGAGAACAAATAACAACCCACCTTTTTCACCGACAACGTCTATTATCAATAATGCATTCCAGGCTACGAAAATGAAAAATGAACCAAATTCCATGCCTGCTTCAAGGTAACGGTTTTCTGTTTCTACCACGCACGTATGGCACAAGGTTTACGTTGATCACCAGATCCCGGCAGTGGATTAACGGTAACATGAAAAGAAATTTAAAGAAAGCTCGTAGATGTCAGTTCTATGTGGACATTAATGCAGATGGCGCAAATGGATGTTATCCGCTTAGCTCGATGGAGAGAATTGGGTCTCATAGGAATATCTTTAAACATTAACATGTGTATTACACAGTGAAATTAGTCCTTGGAACAACATAGTACAAATTTTGATTAATTTCTTTAGAAGGTCTCATTGACGACAAAAAACCCTAGGAAAAGCAAATACTTAGACTTAGAGTTCTCTTGGACTGAAACGCTTTTCGAAATCATCCATTGGTGTTTGATATGATCAAGTCTTAGCTCTCAAATTACAAAGCTCTTTGGTCCCTCACCGCTCTAGAGGTAAGAGTGCTTTCTTTAGCTATGGTTACAATAGAAACACCTGGTTTGAAGGCAAAACGATTATTAACTTTAGATAAGAACTTCCATGTTCCCTCTACAATGTCACTGAACCATGGCAAAGTTCAAATATTTTTTAAGGAAAGACTAACCAAATGTCATTACGATCTCAAATTTTGCAATTAGCGAAATTTTCAGCAGATAACGTACGCAAATTATCATCATGAAACATCATATTCGTTCTAAAGTAGCTTTTAAACGTTGTTTAAGAAGATTTCCTTAAAGTTTCTTAAATGATCCGGTGTTTAGCTAAGGAAACTCCACCGTGTGGTAATAAAGGATCGGTAATGAATTTTTTTCTTTCAACTGATCTTGTTTCTTTCAAGTAGCTAAAGATGTTTTCTCGCCAAATGTTTGTGATACCCACATTTGGAAGCTCGGTAAATGTTATTTTCGTTTTATTTCAATTGCACAGAAATAGAGGAGTTAAGGCTGGATATCAAATTTCCTAGTACATGTAACAATTCGAGCTGCACTATTTTAAACGGATTGCAATCTTGTAAGCAGACGCTGAGGTAGACCATATAGTGGTGAGCTGCAGCTATCTAATATTGAAGTAATGAATGCGTGAACAACAATTTTCTTCTTCAATGTACTTTCTAATTTTTGCGACTACTCAAACATACAAACCATACACTGCAACGCACGTTTTTTTTCGTACCCATTATCGCTATAACCCCATTTGAACAAGTCTTCGCTGTACCAGATTTGGAATTCTTGGTTCGTCTCCACCGTCAGAGGGGTAGACAAATTATCAAAAAGCAGTTGTGGCGATTCGGTTGTGGCCCAAGGCAGGCTGTAAAACTTGCAGTTCCGATAGTCTGATAGGAAATTACTCTTTGGGAGAAGAAGATTACGGTTTTTGTCAGTTATCAACGTGGCCATTTGGTTGGGAATGAGACGGTTCCAAAGGCATCCCCATTTGGAGTGAAAACTTGACTTTTGTGCATCACAGGTGACGTAACCAGATCTGTAGGTTAATTTGAATGTAATGATGTTACCGGCTTTGGAAGTTCTAAAGAAACCATACGAATCATCTCTTGCTCCAAAGCAAACTGTGGATGGCGTCATCTGTATCCATCTTACTGTTGGGAAAAAACCAGCACATATATGATGAATTGATTTTGAACAAAAGAATGTGAGTTGGGTAAAAAGAATACACGGCTAGACAGCCAGCCACTTAGTCAGACAGATGGATATGAAAGCAGGAGGGACAAAAGGGGGTTCAGACATCTGGAGGAGCAGACGGACAAATGGCTGACTGAATAGGACTGACAGTTGGATTCATCAATAGATAACTTAAAGGGTGAGGTAGAGTTTTTCATAAAAGTATTTCACCAAATGAAAAATGCTTTTTTATCTACCGTTTCTTTCCTCGCAATTGGTGCCCTTGTATTCAGGCGGGCAAAGGCATCTGTAACCTTTGTCTGTAAATCCTGTCTGACAAGTGCCATTATGTTGGCATGGAGTCTGTCCACAAGTGTTCTAATGTGAAAACGAGGTTTAAAAGCAGATATATGCCAATTGAAGCGGTAAGTAGTAATGATACTATAAAATGAAAACTGAAACGTCACATGAGATCAAATCAACCGACCAACCAGCCAGGCAACAAATCAACCATACCAACCAATTGCAAACAAACATTGTGCAACCAGCCAAACAACATGCCAGCAATCAACTTACCATAGAGCATTTATAAGCTAAACAACCCGAGGTTGAGCCAACTTTATATATTAATCTACCAAATGACAAGTAATGTTATTCGCTTGGCCATGATAGGATACCGACCAACCATCAAAAATCACCAAAACCAAGGATAAGCGAAAAGCACAAATAGGATAAGAATGTACTCACCATTGTTCCTTTATATCTGTAGTTTGTCCAGGACTTGAGATCCTGAGGATGTTCATTGTGTGTGGAATTATTCAGTTCGCATTTTGTGATTACTGGAGATCTGCTGGTCACTAATTCGTTATAGCTGACGCAGTTGGGTTCCATGAAGCATAGAGCTGAGCAGAAGTCTTGCACAGGGGATTCTACGGTTCTTATTAAGTGGTTTATTAGCCGTTTGCCAGGGAAAGCAAGAGAAGATGTAAATTCCATCTTGCGACAGAAGTCTGTAGGAAACTAAATCGGATTTGATTAGCACCATTTATGGTGTAGTATAGACAGGCAAAGAACCAGTTTCGTTTTTCAGGGACTACGCAAAGCCAATGGAGTGATGAAACTTACGATTTGTACAAGTAAATACATAGGTAACGGGACTTCGTGTCGTCCAATTTGGTCTTTAATCATATTCACGAGTGAGCGAAATTAGACTCCACTCGGTCCTATTACAATTATAAATTCAATATACTTACAACACTGTAGCAGTATGTATGTAGTTTGCGACTGAGAAAATTGGGTCACAACACACTGAATCGTGAATTTCATTAGAAACGAGAATTATTTGTGGTTAAAAAAAAATTTCTAATGCGTCTAGGGCATATTTCTACTTCATATTTTATGTGTTATTAAATATAATGTTTTTAATTCGCTTTTACTGATGTGCATCTATGAAGACACATATCTCTTTTATCTGACAAATCAATTTGGAATTCTTAGCATACCGGTAACATGGTAGAATCGGGCAATGGCCCAGTTTGAAAGAAGCAACATCCCAGCCTCGATCTTTACTTTAAGAAGCCCGTCTGAATTAAACCCTCTGGTTTTTTTTTATAATCGAGGGGGCTTTTCGATATCCTTGATTTGGTGATCTCACAAGTTAGTTAAATTTTTAATTTTTGTAAAGTGCATACTTGCCCTGAACTTTAAACTTTTGCTTAATTACTCGTAGAGAGAGGAACTCCCATACGGTGATTAGCGTAAATAATTGACAATATTTGAAGTGCACATGCTGGTAAAGTAAAAACAACCCATTTAATTTGTCTGAAATGACCTCATTAACCTACTGAAATGTAATATAGTTTGTGAGACGCACCATGGTGAACTGACAGGTCACTATATGCGAACTGTTGTGAAGTGTTTTGGTCAATTAAATTTCAAGATTTTCTTTAGGGTTGTAAGTCTGATTTGCTCAAGATGTGTGATTGTCTTCGTCCTCAAACTGAGTTTCCTGATTGTTTCTTTGTCATTTAGATATCTAGTTATTTGTAGTGGAATACCCTATGTGACCGTTGTGTAGTCCTTGTGTGAGACTTATGCACAGAAGCGTGTATGACCGAACACGTAATTTTTATTTTTGATTAGTTTTGATCCTTGATCGTTATTGAAGCTTGTTTCTCGAATAATGACTTCCGTTGGTAGTGATGTTTGAGTTAATTTACTGACCTTGATTGATTGATTACTTGACCTTGATTAAGATCAACACCAAAATTCCCCTTTTGGTTTTAGTATTGGAAAAATATCAAGTGATCTGTTGTTTAGATCTATGCTCATGAAAGTATTTAGGTTTGTGGTTTGATCAAGAGGTTTAATCCAAGTCAGTCGGCCAATAACCCGAACATGCTTACTGAAAGAGTACTTAAGAGTATGTACTCGAGAGTGAAAATGAGAGACACTTGAGTTGATTGTCCAAGAAGCAAAAGAGGAGAAGAAGAAGAGAAGACTGAAGAAGGGTCTAGTTGTCTAGGAGTCTGTTTTAATTTTAATCATACAGAAATGATTTATTTGGCTCATCGTCCATGTGACATCAAAATTTTTCACCAATTATCCCAGAGTTTTGTAGAGCAAGTTTAGGCTGTATGGTCTCTAGTCTAGTTAACTATGTAACCTTTTTATCTATGAAAAATAAACTGAAAAAAAAAGAATATGAAATTGAATGTGCAACTAACTTAGTTGAATTATAATGATTTTTATCAGCTCGGAGAACAAATAACAACCCACCTTTTTCACCGACAACGTCTATTATCAATAATGCATTCCAGGCTACGAAAATGAAAAATGAACCAAATTCCATGCCTGCTTCAAGGTAACGGTTTTCTGTTTCTACCACGCACGTATGGCACAAGGTTTACGTTGATCACCAGATCCCGGCAGTGGATTAACGGTAACATGAAAAGAAATTTAAAGAAAGCTCGTAGATGTCAGTTCTATGTGGACATTAATGCAGATGGCGCAAATGGATGTTATCCGCTTAGCTCGATGGAGAGAATTGGGTCTCATAGGAATATCTTTAAACATTAACATGTGTATTACACAGTGAAATTAGTCCTTGGAACAACATAGTACAAATTTTGATTAATTTCTTTAGAAGGTCTCATTGACGACAAAAAACCCTAGGAAAAGCAAATACTTAGACTTAGAGTTCTCTTGGACTGAAACGCTTTTCGAAATCATCCATTGGTGTTTCCGATATGATCAAGTCTTAGCTCTCAAATTACAAAGCTCTTTGGTCCCTCACCGCTCTAGAGGTAAGAGTGCTTTCTTTAGCTATGGTTACAATAGAAACACCTGGTTTGAAGGCAAAACGATTATTAACTTTAGATAAGAACTTCCATGTTCCCTCTACAATGTCACTGAACCATGGCAAAGTTCAAATATTTTTTTAAAGGAAAGACTAACCAAATGTCATTACGATCTCAAATTTTGCAATTAGCGAAATTTTCAGCAGATAACGTACGCAAATTATCATCATGAAACATCATATTCGTTCTAAAGTAGCTTTTAAACGTTGTTTAAGAAGATTTCCTTAAAGTTTCTTAAATGATCCGGTGTTTAGCTAAGGAAACTCCACCGTGTGGTAATAAAGGATCGGTAATGAATTTTTTTCTTTCAACTGATCTTGTTTCTTTCAAGTAGCTAAAGATGTTTTCTCGCCAAATGTTTGTGATACCCACATTTGGAAGCTCGGTAAATGTTATTTTCGTTTTATTTCAATTGCACAGAAATAGAGGAGTTAAGGCTGGATATCAAATCTTATCATGGGGTGAAAGTCAAACTCAAGTTTTTCATGCATTAAATACAGTCATCTCCTACCTTCCAAGATCCAACGTTCTTCGGCACCCAACGCCAAACGCGTTTTCATTATTATTTTCTGATAGCTATGGTTACGATATGAAATGTTGGTTTCACACCAAGATGATCATTAATATTAGAAATAAACTTTTCTCTTCGTGTTTGGGCTCTTTGCACAAAAAGCTAAATTGGTAAAATAGTACGAGGCGAAGAATTTAACCTAACGCAACAAATTGACTGAATAAATGGTTAAGAATATATGAAAGTCATATATTTGACTGAAGTTATGCGTTTTGGACTATAAAATGTTATTATCAATTCCTTGAAAGTGTCGCCTGTCACGTCAGGTGAAAAATACATTGTAATTATAGATCGTTTATTAGTAATTCATGTCAAACAAACGCAATGCAGGCAGCACTGTTCTCTTGTAAAAATAATTTCTCTCAGATGGTTAAGTGCGATAAAAATGAGCTTCCGTATGATGCAGAGAGATCAAATTCCCGCCTAATAAAACACAGGGAAATTGAACATAACATAGTGTAATACGTGCATGTTATTGAGAGAGGAGGGATGGGAATGTAACCATTTTCAATGAAGTCTTTCGAATTTACCGAAGTTTTTTGTCGTTTTGCATCTAATATACAATTTTCTGAATAAGAAACAATTAAAAATTTTTACTAAATACCCTTTCATTTTTCAAATATGAGTTCAAATCATGGCTGGATGCTGAATGTGGATTTTTGACTTAGTCTTTGCTAGTTGTTGTAACTTTAACTGTTTTTGTATCAGCAAAAGAAATAAAGGAGATATATAAATAAGGTTGTACTCATAAGTGAATCGATAAAAAAGGATAAAAAATGATTCGCCATCTGCGACCCACCTTTTCCAAAAGTCAAGTTAGTCAATAATGCATTCCAGGCTATGAACATGAAAAATGAAACAAACTCCATGCCTGCTTCAAAGTAACGGTTTTCCGTTTCTACCCCACGCGTATGGCGCAAGTATTAAGTTGATCACAAGCTCCTAGCAATGGATTAAGCTTCCAAAATTGGCCTGTTTTTATGAAAGAAACCATACTATGAAAGTCAATCAAAACATAAAAACAATTCAAAATTCTTGGGGCTATTAAGTCTATGTGGAAAGTGATAGAAATGTCGCAGATAGATGTTACCCGCTTCCCTCGATGGAGAGAAGTGGGTCTCACAGGAATATCTTTACAAGTTAACATACTTATTAAACATTGAAATTAGTCCTTAGAACAACATTGTAAAAATCTCGATCTATTTCTTTAGAACGTCTTATTGACGGCAAAAAACCCCCAGGAAAAGCAGATATTTAGACGTTAAGTTCTCTTGGACTTTTTAATTAAATTTGACAGATGAAGGATATTTTCGGCATATTTATCCAGCATATTTTTTATTCATTCCTATCGAAAGATAAACACCTTGGAAAACTTACCATGCTTTTAATATTTGTCGTATGGCAAGTTTTCTAATAATAGACATATAATAGAAAGAAAAGTCATCTTCCCGTTTAAGTCCCCTTTCATTTGTCAGTGTTTGGAGTTAAAATACGCAGACGTGTTATTTTCATTAAACTTTGCCCCTAAAATTGATAATCAACCCTTATATAAAGCTGTTTAGCGCACGGATATCTACCTCCACTAGGTGTTCTTAAACTACCCATAGAAAAACGAATGTCCATTCAGAAATGCTGGTTTTAGATGTGAAGTGACGACGACTCGACCTCGACAAAAACTCAGAAGAAATAATATATTCTTATTGAGCGAGGAAAAAAATGCGATCTTTGACAAGTTGGCTAATTAACATTTACAAGCTGCTGCTTATCCTCATCTTATATAAAACAAAAATCCCGATGATTGTTGAAACCCTTTATTTATCTGCTAAGTCCAATAACCAAAAGGGCAAGAAAACATAAAGTTTCAAACATAAAGTTTCCAAACTATATCCGATGAATAATCCTTTCTAATACATCAAACATTTTGGACGGAGTTGAAACTTCAGCGACCTTTTGGCAATTTTTGTGGTAAACAGAGCAACATATTGCTTACCAGAGCTTTCGTGTTGCATGGAAATAAACATTTAAAGGTTCGGTTGGTAATCCCCGAGTATTGATAATCTGCTTTC